AAACACATTGAACTAATAATAAATAATAGTATATCTAATATCAAACATTTAATAAATTTAAGCTTTACTATAGAAAAGCTTTAATTCTTGGAATAAAACTTTGCAATATCCATTATTCTTTCATCATTACAGAGACAGTTCAAAATTGCAATTTTGTAACTTTGTAAATTATAAACCTTATTTTTACCGTCTAGTTTTTCAATTTTGTTCTTTGCCATTGTAAAATCCTTTTTTTCTAGATTATAGATTTTGCAATAATTCTGTTAATTGCTAATATTGAATAATTTTACGATATCAATTATACATAAACACTAATTAAAACATAGTTTAAAAACAGTGATACTTTACGTTTTAGTATTTCAAACAAACTAGCTTATACACTAGCTTATAGTTTTGATCATAAACGGGGTGTTCTCATGGCATCTACATATTTACGTCGTAGACATAGATTACTAAGAATCGTAACTGTAACATACATTTTGTAGTGTTGTATTTTGACAGTAAAACGATGAAAATGTTATTGCGGATATAAGCGAATCGATATTAGCGAATTATAGTTTACTATTTATATTTTCGTGTAAAGGCAAAATTGAAGAAATCGTTAGAACAATATTATCAAAACCGTGTAAAAGGGGTTGTATTTTCGTGTAAATGCAAAATTAAAGAAATCGTTAAAACCATATTATCAAAAACCGCGTGAAACGGGGGTGTATTTTCGTGTAAATGCAAAATTTAAGAAATCGTTAAAACAGTATTATCAAAAATGATGTGCATATTTGAATTGAGCCATAAAATCATACAATATTATGTTGTATTTTCTAGATAGTAAATTTATTTATGGCAAAATAGTTGTTTTCATTTTTCTTCATAAAGCGCGCCACTGGTCACTCACGCACCAATACTACCAACGACGCACATTCATTTATACAAATACATATTCATGTGTACGCGGGCGACCGACTCTCACTTTCTGTCGCGAGCTCGAACTTAAGTTCTATGAACTTAAACTGGGTCACACGCATTGTGCACACTAATATACAGCGCGTGTATACACTTAAGATCCGACTAATATGTATACAACACATAGGAAAGTCGACCAGCGACCGTTCACTCAGGCGCTCACGCGCCAGTTCCAACACATTACTGGAATTACTACTACATGTACGACGCTGAACGATCAGCGTAGTAAAGTGCTTGAGAGCGAAAGAGAAGAATGCACGCATACATTGAACACGCTGAGCGTGAACACGTGCGAATAGTGCACATGTGTTGGTTTGTAACACTGACTCTTTCTTGTAAGTTGTACTTACGCCGTGTGTTAGATAAAGACAACAATGTACCAACACATGTTGCCCGAGTTGCGATTCACGCATAGGTACACGTCTCGTGCATACACAGATCCAATTCGCTAGCGAAGTTTACAAAGTTCTTTGAACTCTTCAGTCGCTCGATGCATGTCGCAGCGTGAACACGCATTTTGAAGTAAAGTGTTGTTGAAGATATTTTTTAAATTAGTGACTTAAAACGTGTAGTGTTATGGTAGAAAACAAAGTGTTACAGATGTGATTTTATTATAAATTTTAGATTTAATTAAAATTAGTAAAAATGGGTTGCGCTTACAACGCGGCAGATGGCGCGGCCAAACAGACGGACGACAAGACATCGAAAAAGAATTTGAAAGACAATCATAGCGTGTTGGTGCGAATGTTACAAGAACCTCCATTAAATAATAGCGGTAGTAATAAAAGGAGCAGTCCTTTGAGGCGGGAAAATGAACATGCATGTCCTTTGAAGCGGCATTCAAAAAATAACGAGGGTTTCAGCAGCAATGGGCAGCTTGGACCCTTGACAAGGCTTCCGGATCCTATTCATAACTCTTTAGCAACTGATTCTAATCAACATTTGTTATCGCGACAGCCTGAATTCTTACCGAGACAGTTTACGGACTTAACTCCAGAACAATTGTCAAGACAAAACAGTCCAGTGTCCGACGGACAAATGCAAATAGACGAACAAAAAATAGTCACAAATGAACATAAAGACTTAGGTTTAAGGACGATAGTTAAGGATAGTAATTCTTCTGGTGATGAAATGCGTTCAACCGGTGATAGGTTGAGCGACAATCAATCACAATCATCTAGCGATAATGATTCGGGAAGAGACTCGCCGTTGTCAGAATTTGAACTGAGCGAACTATGCAGGAGGCTGGAAGGACACTGCGTCGAAGATTGTGAAAGAGTAAGATTCTCATGCGATCAAATATTTTATTTTTTATGAATTTACCTGAATATGAATACGCAAGCGATTAATTTACTTTACACAGAATTATATTTTTAGGATTCTCGCAAAACACATTTCTCCTTACTCAAAAAAAATATAGTATGTAGATAGTAAATAATAAGCAATAATTGTATTGTATTATTTTGGTATATTTGTTTGCGTTCGTACAAACTTGGTTATTAAAGATTTCTTGTTTAATAAATTGTTAATATTTCAGCAATATAGTTTAAATATGCTTTAACTTGTTTAAATCATCAATGGCGCGATTTAAATCTATGTTCTATAATCAGTATAAATTCAGCAGCTTAATTCCATGAAATCTGATTTTTATTTAAATCTGACTAAAAACACTATCACTATCTGTTAAATTATTATTAAATAAGATTATTACTGGTTACTTTCAATTGGAAGATGTAACATAATAAAAAGTATAATGGGCAAAAATATAACCATGAAATTTCGTTTAAAAGCTCATCATATTATTTTACTTGATTTATGGCCAGGCAAACTAAAATTATATAGACATCCATATAAACATACATATATGTATGCATATTTATATGGATAATCAAACACACACACAAATATATATATATATATATATATATATATATATATAATATAAATGTGTAGGTTTTATTCAGGCATATAGTCATAGATTTTGTATAGGACTAACGACCTTACCTTGAATACCGTTTTCTTTGTACATTTTAGCACGGGGTCATTCTATGTGAATAGTACATTCATGAGAGTGCCTTCGTATATATAATCGCTTTCCCAATAAAACCTCAAAAATGAGAATATCATCTTTGAGCAAAAAATGAATTGTAAATGGAATATCGAAAATTGATCTATAACTGATAGAGATATTTGAATACGCATTTATGCTTTGTAATAAAACAATAATATAGTAACTGAATGTTTTTTTAGGCATTTGTTATAAAATGCCAAAAACCTAACAGAGACACATTAACAATAAACTTATTGAAAATTTTACTAATATACACTATTTACAGAATGAAAAATAAAATATTTGCCGTCTTTTAAAAAATTTTATGCATTACTGAACTTGAAGTCATTTTTCGTTTTTTCGTTAATAGTAAAATAAAATTTCGATGAATCACTAAAAATAAGATTCTCTATGCTATTTTCAAAAATTGCATTTGCTAAAATATTAGTGTAATAATAATGATATGAGAGTATACTCGCGCAAAGATACAACTCTATACAGTTTTGTAATGTTCGTGAGCGTGCTTTGAGTTAATTACATATTTTTTCCAACATGGACCGTGTATTATAAACGAAATTGTTATTCATACTCGCCTCTCGGTTCTTATGAGATTCCCGCCACGAGAGTCTTATTAGAAATCGTTTTCAGGTCACTTTCACTGGGTCGACGAACTCCAGTACTCTTTCTTCATCAATTATATTAAGACACCTCTACCGTGGTACGAGGTATGTACCCAGGCACGCGCTCGCGATGGAAAAGAACATGGCCCTCGAATTTATACTTTGTAAATTAAGGAAAATGAATTCATTGCAAAATGATACAATTTAAAAATAATTTTATTTTTTGTATTTCAACAAAATCTTAGGGAGGTCAACAAAAATCAGTATTTAACACGTATTTTCAACAGTTGCATTTGATTTCAGTATGTCCTGAATATCAGATATTCATAATTTGATTTCATAAATTGTTTCATCCTAAGTGTAATATAATTTCTAATAACTAAAACATGAATACGAAAATCCTTGTTATCTGTTGCACAATCTTCAGCTTGGTGTTTGGACATGCGTAAGGTGCGTGAGTCATCGATGTCATGTGACATCGCGTCATTTTGAAAATAGAAAATAGATTTCACTACCTACATGGAAATGTTATGATATGATATTAAGTTTGTTTTGTTAGAGTTTTTATTCCTTTATTACAACACTGTTTGTGACTCATTTATTATTTGCGTATAGCAAAATAAATCATAACATGTTTTAAATATGAAAGTTTATTAACCAAATAGAAGAAAGTTTTCACCGCCACAGATGTTCTGTATGGCGATGTCTACGACCTCATTAATCTTATAATTTTTTTATTTGTCAGTAATTTTACCCATATACATGTACCTCCATTGCGTATTTCTGCCCGTCGTCATGCATGAGTATTAAACTTTCTAGACATCTTTCACTTTCACTCGATGGCATCGCGATTAAGAATTTTAATTTTTATGGCAACGAGTAAACAAACAAGCTTGATCGTAAATTATATACACGAGAATTGCGTAAGAACATAAAATACTGATAAGATTTTTGATGATCAGATCGACTTAAAACTGGAATAAAAATTAAATCTTTTTTTTTCATTTTATCTTATTTTGAGGAATCAAAAATGCAATAGTTTCTATTAGCTAAATTTTAAACTGAATAGTAAGAATGTATTATCTAAGATAATCCGCTGATATATCTGAGTTTGCGCATAATTCAATGGTTTGGACAGTTTTCTGCTGTCTTGCGGTAGTAAGATGTCTTCAACTTTTGGGTTTGTTTGGGTCTCTAATTTGCTTCTATGAATTAAGGCACGCTCTTGTATTGTTGCCCGTGCTGTTCATATTTTCAGGTCATTATATATAAGGTTAAGAATTGATCTTAGACTCTTGATTTGTTTAATAAATCTTTTCTATTAATATGATGTTTCCTGAAGTTTATTAAGTTTTGTTTTTCTGTTTCAGGGATTCTTCAGGCGGTCCATACAACAAAAAATTCAATACAGGCCTTGTTCGAAAAATCAACAGTGCTCTATATTGAGAGTGAATAGAAACAGATGCCAATACTGTCGGCTGAAAAAATGTATAGCCGTCGGAATGAGCAGAGATGGTGAGTTTTAGGAATTTTAAGAGTTTAATTAATACTTATAGACACGTTTTCATCATTTGAAGACGTGAGATTTCATAATGCTAACACGCCCATATCGTTCGATCAAGATTAATTTCAAATAAATTTATCTTTTGTACCTACATACATATCTCACTTAGCATATACTCTTGTTCTGGCTGTCGCTTTCGTGGCCTTACTAACACTTAATCACGCTCGTACGTACACGTACAAATACTGCGACACATAGAGCGCGCTTATAAAGCGCTTGACACACTTTTCCAGAGTGCGTTGAACCTTCTCGGCCGTTCGCTCTCACCAACACTTGGAAAAACAATGCGAACGAGACTTACACACTAATACATCGCATGTACTTCTTGGTACATCGGCAGAGGTTTCATATAGAACAAGCGTGCACAAAATGTATCATCTTTCATATTCATTGGCATTTTTATATTTGCGCGCTTTAATTTTATTGAATTATTGATACAGAATAGTTTGTAGTACTACTTTTGATGTATCAGTTTTCGCTCGTATTTGCAACTTTTGTAATACGCGTTAATTATGGTTTTGTACACATCAACATAATATAATAATAATAAATAACTAGTGGTGCATGGCATCGTGCCAAGGCAAATTACTGGAACTTCGTTAACAAAAAAAATTTTTTTAACATTTTCGAAAAATTAAAAAAAAATTTAATACTTTTTGATTTTTTTTGCGACTACTATAACGTACCCTACGGGAAGGTAAATATTTGATAAATCAGACTTTGAAGATTCTTGTATCATGTTAAACAGATTAGCTGGTATTTTAAATAAAATCGTTTTCGCGTTATATTTCATAAAATTTGTCGCCTGAACTAAATATCCTGTCTTTTATTTTACCTTTATGTAACCATTCAATGTACTTCGATTCGTCATTGATTTTTTCTCTAGAACAATTAATTTGGTTCAATGGAAACTTTTCGTATTTGTCCACATTGTAGATCAAGTACATGTTCACTAGTACAAAAGCGCGAAGAGGACAAAGTAAACCTTTTGGTAATCAAGAATGAGAGAGAAGGGAAGTCCATTCGTTAGTCAAAAAACATTACATCACATTTTTGTGTGCAACAGTCTTCATGTGTATATGTCTTTTCACACTTTTGCAATTCAAGTCTTCGTGTGTTTGTGTATTCTTATTGGAATCATATGAGAACGTGTGCGATGGCGCAAGATACATATGTGCTCATATTTTGTTTGCTACTGGCTTACATAAAATTACATTTTTTTTGCACTGGACAAAAAATCGTGCTAATTTAAATTGAATCGTTTGAATCGAAGTTCAACGATCATGTAAACGTATGCGCAATACTGATGATGTATATGCTCTCAATTAAAAAATAATCGAGGTTTATACAGAATAAAATGGTGAAACCAAGAAGAAGACGAAACATTAATAAATTTTATTTAGAGCATATTTCAGACATTTATCAATTAGGGTTCTAAGTACTTGTGAAAAGATTTTCTTAAAGTTAAGTCTTAAAGAGACTAATGATTTAATGAAGGATTCGTACAAAATTTCAACCCTTCAGTTTGACGTTGAAAATACTAAAGCACTTACAGTAATTTGAGGTCTATTCAAAGATTCATATTACTGCTCATAACGTTGCATGAATAGCTCCACAGAATTACAAACCCATATACAATTTTGATAAATAATTCTCCTCTAAACCATGCTTCGAGTGAGTAATAAAAAACCCATTTTCTCATTACTCTGTCTGTCAGGTAAAACAAGAACGTGTAAAAACCTTTCCATAACGCATAAATTTATAATTGGTACTAAATCCTGCAGATCCCACACGCCTGAACTAAAGTATGAAGTACATGACGATAATGTGTGTATTCAATACACTTATAAGCGCCGTGTACAGGAATTAGGTCGAACGAAGTATGGTTGTGCTATAAGTCTTTGGGTTCATCGCCTTACTACAAGGCGAGGTCAACCACACATATAACGTAATCTATATGCCGTGCCGGGGCTTTTGAATTTTACTCAATATCATGTTCTACATTTCGTATGTATCACTAAAATTCTCAAATATCTATATAGCATTTACGAACTTCTGCATAATTATCTGTGCGCGTCTTAGTCGAGCAATTTTGGGTCAAATTTTGTTTAGAGAGTCCTTGGGGTATGAAATCTACACGGCGATGATAACTTGCATAGAGTATTTGTCATTGCACGGTTGTTATTGCTAACACATATAAGTTATATAAACGGATTGTAAATTATGTTATGTATTACTTTGTAAGATAATAGTAATTGCTTGCTTACATGATATAAATTTATTTGAAGGATTTGTTTAAATACCACATTTAATAGCCTGAACAAAAGATGCTGCTTGTCATTGGCAGTTGTATATAAACATATCAGAAACGCTTTCAAAATCTATTATAATAATTCAATACAACAAATCGCAGAATTATTGTATTAAAGCAGAATATATGAGAGACTTAGAATGCCAGTTAGTATTATAAAATAGTTGATATTTTACATCTTCTTGCACCTTATAAGACTTAATATTGCTTTAGAATATTATATAATATTTTTTGGATTTTAAATATAGATTTATCTAGCTTAGATTTGACATGTTATATATATATATATATATATATATATATATATATATATATATATATCAAATCTAGTTGGAGGCTACTAAAACACTTAAAAGACAACGGCCGCTAAGTAGAACACACAATAGTATACACATAAAAGACTTCAAGTATTTATATTTATAAATATACCAATACATGAATGGGACTCAGGCTACTAACATGATTTTTAAAATGACGCGCATACTTTCGTTTTTCAATAACGTACGTTCAACTTTATTAACACATATACAACAATAAAATATATATTATATATATTTATATATATATATATATATATATATATTATATAAGTGTGTGTGTGTGTTTTGTGTGCGTGTTTATCTTGCACCCTTAAGACCCTAATTCTAAATCTTATTAAAAGCGAAATAATGTTTTATAAATTCAATCATTGTGTTTCAAACTCAATAAATTTCTGCACTTATTTTCTGATCTTCTGATAATAATTTGGGATGACTCAATTAATCATTTGAATTTTCTTATAAATAAAGACATTAATCATTTTACATAGTTAGGCAGTTAATTATTAATGTTAATGTCTTATAAAGTTAAATCACACATTCACAATTTACTAGATGAAATCGCATAATTGTGATAAAATATATATTTATAGTTGAAATTATCTAACCTCGATTCTTTCAAAAAATAAAGTCCAGTGATTCAAAACATTTAATTTAGATCAAATCTCGTATCAATGCTGTCGAAAAAATCCAGAATATTAGGGATATTTCAATATTGTAAAGTAAAGTAAAAAGTGGAGTAATAGTTCTGCAACTCTTGTCATTTCCACAAAGGTTCTCAATCTATTATTTACGAGAATCAACCTAAATCATGTTCTGAGCAATCCTCAAAGTTTGAAATTTACGATATCGTATACGTAATCAGTTCGATGATTCAAAAGATTCTAAAACTGTTCACATTTGTACCTAGTGACCATTCGCTTATACGGTAACGTAGTTTAATATGCAGAGAAATCGGCATAAATGGGTTCAACGCACCTAGCAGCGAGCCTTGGCACGGATAAAACCCATTCGAGTGACGTATATCGATGTATGTTGGCTTTGTGTTGTGTACAGAGTAATATATATATATATATATATATATATATATATATATATATATATATATATATATATAATTAAATAATTCAGAAAAAATAAAAATCAAAATTGTGATAATTTTTAAAATTACGAAGAGAAATTTATTAAAGGAAAATAAGTAGTTGTACTTCATAATAATAACTAATTCTTGACTTGAAATTGTTTTTGGATTTATAAAATCACAATTTAAATATTTTATTTTTTATGCCATTTATGTAGATATTATTAAAAGTTATGAATTAGTTTAACACACAATAATATGCAATTCTAGTAATAAAATTTCTTAATTTATTTAGTCAGCGGTATTATAATACTAAAAGTGAAACTAAACTGCAAAAGAACCATTTTAATTTATTTACTAAAACTATTTTTATATCCTTTAAAAGTACCTGGCGTCTCCACCGTAAAAATTAGATTTCGTCAAACAGGACATAGATAACTAATAAGTAAACATTATCAATTTTACTTCTACGGTTAGTTAAGAATACTCTTCTACATTTATCAGAATGTACAAGTATATACATATATACATATCCGTGTGAATCTTGAGAAATCGCGTTACGCGAAAAAATAACTTTCTTTCTTACTGCATAAAATGTTGTAATGCTACACTAATCACTTACATATACACCGCGAGAGAAATTGAAACTGAAATTTCAAGATGCGGATTTATCTTAGCGCAACATTTGAAGTTTGAACACAAATTCTGCTATTTGCACAAAAAATAAATAGCTTTCTTAGATATTTGATGATACTAAAAATATTTTAATGAGCGTCCTTCTATGCAACGAATGCATGAATACACGCACACGTACTACAAAATCCTTGATCTAAAAAAATCCTTCATAACAATGTAGCGTCATTATGTGTCGTAGTATAAGTATGTGTCATTTTCAACAAGGATTTAGAATGGTTATGTTTGCTATAAAAGGATTAGGTTATTAAAAAATTATACAAAACCATATGCAAAATAGTGAAAAATAATAAGGACTGATGTACGTCAACGAATACATATAACATCAGTAGACTTATAGACACATACTACGGCTGGCATGTCCTTGGTTTTGCGCAATTTCATACGTTCGTTGAACCCGGCTCAGTAACCTACTTCCGAAATAACTACATGTATATATATATATATATATATATATATATATATATATCTCTTTTACTCTCATACTTCTTGGTATCAGAGCTTTTACACAATCAAACACATCACAATACATATTGTTGATCGCGTTTG